GCGAAACTAGACTTGGCATTAAAACACCACTGCTGCTAATGCAATGCTCACGCTTCAATGTGAACAACCTCGTTTCTTAACATGCGCAGTGAAAAATGATGCGCTGCTGACACTTGCGCTGTGAATCAGGCATTCTGCATGCGAATGCGCTCAGCTTGAACTGAAACTCCAGGCACGTTTCCCATCAAGACAAACCAGCACAGACTGCGTGACTCATGGACTGTGTTATTCTGTGTGTGTGTGTGTGTGTGTGTGTGTGTGTTAGATGCTTCTGCAGCTCCTGTCTGATGAATGAGGTAGTGAAGGCATGCCAGCTTCGCTCGGGTCCGACTCGATCGTGCTCAACAGCGCCTCCATCTGCTTCTCCAGCAGCGCTGCCAGCTGGCTGCTCTTGTCTGCTTCGTCATCCGCTCCCTCGTTGAGCTGCACGTAGGGTACCAGATGCTGCGCGCTGGCGGGCATCACGCTGCTCACACATGTGTAGAAGTCCTGAGTGGGCGGTGCCGCAGGGGCGGGGCTTAGAATCATGCTGTAGTCCATGCCTGGGATAGAGGCGAGCTCCGGATGGGTGGGGCCAGGGTATGGAGGGGGCGTGTCTTCCTCACAATAGGGGGCGGGGCCACGACAGTACGGCGCAGGAGTGCAGCTGATCTGAACAGACTGTTGTCCGTCAGGGCAGGTGACGTACTGCGTGATTGGCCCGATCGGTGCATCCTCCTGTATACCGTCAGGCGTCACAGCCGGATTAGTGTCCACGCTCACCTGGTACCACGTATCCGTGCAGTACTGCAGCGACTTATAGCCGTGAAAACTGCAGAAATGCTGATTGAGCTCGTCAATCTTCCCCTTCTGTTGGGACAAGAAAAACAGAAGCTGAAGCTTCAAATTAAGTTCCTCACGCGGTTCCGAATACATCATTATTATACAATACATATACAACATTGTTGTGCTAGTTGTCGTGACGTTGCTATGCAGTCGCTAAGCTATTTTCTGATCTGAGCTGTTTGGCTGATCTGAACACTACTAATAACTCAAACAGTGTGAGGTGTGACGGGACTCTCAGACCTTCAGCAGAGCGGGTTCAAGCCCTGGGATGCGCGGTTTGGGAATCGCTGGCAGGAGGAGCGATTTAATCCTGCTGGAAGAACACAAGCAGTGAAAAACATCCATGAGACAGTGATACAAAACACACAGACATTAGCTAAACGAGGACCTTCTGTAGACTTGTCTTGTTTTTAATAAACAGCACACTGACCCTGACTGTCTTTTGCCATTTAAAAGTCTTTATTCATAACACAGCCCAGTAGAGTATTTTCAGTATTTTTATTCTCTACCCCTCACAGAACCCTTTTTGCATGTTTACATTTTCAGATAAAAATAATTTAGTATGTTTATTAATCACTTCTCTGCAGCCGTCTGCAGATTTGTGACTCTCGGTGCCTGAACTAAACATCTGATGAAGCCTCTAGATCCATGTTCTCATGTGAGCTAATGACGCAGATCTACAGATCCATCTGTGTGATTCACGTCGACAGTCTGTCGATACTGAGACCAGAGCTACGAGCTTCATGACGTCACTGACCTCTTGCCTCGTGGGATGTTCCCCAAACTGATGAAGAGGACGATCATGATGGCGATGCTGGTCACAAGGATCAAGGCCAACATCCGATCTGAGAGGCAGACAGACACTTAGAGCAGCAGCTATCAGTCTGATATATGCGTAAGTGGTGTGTGAGTACCGGACAGAGCTCTGCCGTTGATGGTGACGATGACGGACTCGCTCCATGCACTCCAGTGTTTGTTGCTGGTGGAGCGGCAGCGCACACTGAACTCATACGTTCCCACCGGCATATCCAAAAACTCCACACGAGGCTCGCGCAAACGCTCCATTACCTT